TTCACAATACACAAGGTGTTCAACAAATGGGAACATTCAAAAATATGAGCAGGAAAATGCATTCAATGGAGAAATTTGCACCCATATGCTTTAGTCAAGGTAAAAATGTATACAATAATATACATATACATTCAAGTCTACATTTGAAAAGTACATGCAGGGAGAAAAGCAGAAAAGCAAAAGCTCAGATGAGCTCAGGCTTGTTACAGAGTTTGGTGTATTTTTTTTAAAAAAAATGATAAAAATAGGATTTGTGCCTATGCCTAGAGCAAGAACAGGGAAATGATAAGACCACTGTGTAGACAAGATGGTGAAATCCTACCAGGGGACAGAAAGATGGCTGAACTCTTCAGATGATGATGGAGTAGAAGACATGCATGTCATATTTGCAGATGACACCAAATGGGGAGGGGAGTTAAAACCTCAGATGACAGGAACTGAATTCAGAATGACCTTGATAGATTAAAGAGCTGAGCCAAAACTAACAAATGAATTTCAACAGGGATAAATGCAAGGTACTACATTTAGGTAGGAAAAAATAAAATGCTCAAATATAGGATGAGTGACAGCTGGCTTGAAAGCAGTCCATATGAAAAGGATCCAGGGGTCTTAGTAGACCACAAGCTAAATATGAGTCAACTGTGTAATGCTGCAGCAAAAAAGCCAATGCAGTTCTAATAGGCGTATAATGTCCAGATCAAGAGAAGTGGTAGCATATCCTGCTTTGGTCAGACTTACCTGGACTACTTTGTGCAGTTCTGGGCACCACAGTTCAAGAAGAATATTGACAAGTTGGGACATGTCCAAAAGAGAGAAACTGAGTTGGTAAAAGGTCTGGAAAACAAGCTCTATGAGGAATGATTTAGGGAGCTGTGTAAATTTACCCTGGAGAAGATAAGACTGAGATGGGATCTTTGAATAACTGGGTGCATTGTAGAAGATGGAGCAAGCTTGTTTTCTTTTGCCCCAGAAACTAGAACATAAGCCAGTGGATTCAAATTGCCAGAAAAGAGATGGCATGATCCTGGTTCTGTTATCTTTCTGTTCTCCTCCAGTCAAGTAATGGCCATGAGCAGGGACCTTCAGTGGCTCTCTGGTGAGTATGGGGAAGGATTTGTCACTATGAAGGGAGGAAGGTAATAACAACTTCTGCAGCTGCTAAAAATAAACATACACAGTCATAAAGTTAACTTACACCTGCTTGTGCAACTGACAGTCCACATCTGGTTGCACTGTGATTAGGCATGTGGATTTGTATACTATATGATAAATATATAGATATCAAAAATGTTTGTTTGGAAGGTACTTGAAGTAGTTGACAGATTGTGTCCAAAACCTTGCTGTAGTTGTCCTTCTGGTTACATTAGATAATGAACCATGTTTGGTGTCTCTGTGATCAAGTGTGTGGATTTGGATAACATACACATAGATAATATAAATTATATTGTATATTTAAGAATAGGTCAGAGGGAAATGTAGCATATAACAACAGAAGCAAGACTGGTACAGCCATGGTACCAAAGATCCCAGTGGGGCATAATGCAGCCCAGTGTCCTAACAGGAGATGTACATCACTGTGCAGAGAGGTGCTCACCCTTAGCTAGAATTTCTTGATACTGCTTTTACAATATGCAAGAAATGTTTCCACAGGGAAGAGTGCTAAGTGGCCTTCAAACAACTCCCATATGTTTTTTGTGGGTTTTTTCAGGCTGTGTGGCCATGTTCTAGAAAGATCCCCCCCCCGACAAGTTGGGAGGGGCCTTCTGTTGCGTCGGCCAAATAAGGGCACTGACGCGCAATTGGCTAAGCAGACCGGAAGGCCCGCCCCTGACAGTCTGCTTGGCCAATAGGAATGAGATCTCACTCCTGAGTCTCGCGAGAGTTCAAACCTTGTGAAATTTGGGAGCGAGATTTGCGGGGCTATAAAGCCCCGCGTTGCCACGTGTTGGCAGCCATTTTGTTTTCGGAGGAGCAAGGAGCACCTTGCTCTTCCATTGTTGGCTCCGGGCCTTTTTTTGGGCCTTAGAGA